TCATCCTGGGGCAGGTCCCCCACGACGCCTCTCTGAGACCCCAACTTCACTGAGAAGATCTTTGAGCACACCGCCTCTGGCCAATGGTTGGGCCTCGACGGTGGGTTTTGAACGGTCAAATCATGCTTCTGACAAGAGTGAAACCTCGGATCAGTGGGTGATCCAGGTCTTTCGGTCTTTCCTAGATCCATGCTTTCATCGGTGCTTTCTCTGACCACTTGCTCAGTGGTTGTTTCGAATGGAGAAACTGGATCAGTCTCATTTAAATCGTGTTCCAAGTGCAGAGGTGCCGGTCTGGTAGGGTGCTGTCTTGGCATCGAACATCTGACGGTTTTTACTTGGGGGAGTCACAATACTCAAAAGGGCACACAGCAAGTAATTGGCAAGGGAATAATATTTGAAGGTGAATGCAAGATACTCAGCCAATCGCAGCAGATTTGCGGGCTAGTCGAAGATGTCTATATCGACAGCGTATAGCGCAATGCTGGGCTTTGCTCCAGATGTATGTGTATAATTGTGTATTTATAATATATTATATAATTAGATAATATTAGATAACGAAGAGATGCTAAAAGAACTTGGCTAGAACAACACCAATCGCCGACAAAATGCTGGCCTTTCGCGATGACAGTTTGACGACCGTCGACGCTCAAACCAACCATCATCCGCCTTCATCATCTTCATCTTTGCCCAAATTCGGAATCGAGCATTCTTGCAACGGACATTCACGATCCTTCCCTTTGGGCCACGTCCACGTCCGCTGCCGTGATTTTTCAGTGTAAGACCTGCAAAAGAACGACTCGGTAGACCTGAAACTGGGTGAAGGTGGATACCCTTCGGCCATGGAGTGGTGCAGACACCGGTCGTGCCCACCGACCGGGGCCACACCTGAAAGCGGTGGATGCTCACGTCTGAGCATCCACACCCTGGTGTGCCAAGCAAGCGAAAGATCTGGAAGAGGTGGCCAATCTGGCGAGGTGAGTCCAGTCGATCTCAAACTCTGATCTGAACAATTAAGAGGAATTCTAGTTGTCAAAAAACATCTTCATCCATGGGACTTCTTTGATCAAGAAATACTGAAGTCCAAAGCACCAGTTGAACTGGTGCGTTACTGAAGCACCAAACTGCTGCGCTGACCCATGGGTCTCTCCTACAAGTAAGTGTGAAGAGACTCTCCAACTCCCTCTGCCTCATCATCTGCGGAAAAGAGCGCATCCTGCAGGCAAGCCTTGCCGCTTCTTCTCCGCGAGGCTCCCGACGTCGGCGTGCCGCGCGGCGCTCTGAGCGGCTCTAGCGGCTCGGCGCATGCAGGTTGCTGTCCGATTCCCCAATCCGTCAAGGGTGACCAAGATCTCGTCCCCATCCATTTACCAGAAGCGAAACTTCAGGCAGACTAGCAACTGCGTCTGGGAAACAGCATGCTTTCATGCTTCAGTCCAGTTGGCGAGAAGTGGTTGTACACTGCTCAGCGCCTGGACAAGAATTTCTACTGTTCAATCTTTCCACGCCGTTGTGCAAGTCAACTGGTTCGAGCCCCAAATCAAACGAAGGAACAAATGAATCCAAATCCTATGGGACTCCCGGCATTCCTCATCAAAAACAAGAGCACCAAACCATGAACTGGGCAACTCCTGTGGTTTGCTGGGCCCAAATCAGCCAAAGAGCAGCCCGCCACCCACACCGCCCTCCTCCCCCCACGTTCTCCCGTTGGTGACCTCAGCCAGCAGGCATCCCACTGCCCTGAAACAGCAAGTCAGGCTTGCGGCTTGCGGCGTTCGCCATGGAAAGGGATTGAGAGTGGATGGAAAGCCATGGGTTGGCCGATCGGGTGCCAGGGGTCCTGTTTTTGGAGCACCGAAAACCATGCGTTTCTGTCGCAGATTGGTGCTGGCCATCACCTTACGCCGGACGCTTGGGTGATTTCTGAACTCTGTTGTTGCGCTTCCATCTACCATGGCCCGCTTAGGGGTGTCTAATAATAGCCCCTCGAAAGTTAAGGGATGTTCATTGACCACCCCTTAGGGGGCCTGGTATTCGTTGACGCTTCAGATTCTGCAGTCCAAGACATCTAAGACGTGACCTGAGCAGGTCGAAAGGTCACCATCCAAGCCATGTTCGGCGATTCGGGGAGGCTCCACCGGAAAGAAACAAACTGATCCGCAAGAAGTTGGCACAGTCTGTGTGCGTAGGAAAACTATGGAAAACTCAAATAAATCTAGTCTGTAGGACTCAAACATTGTGCTTGTTGCCCCATCGACGAAACGCGCAGGGGGTCGATTTCCGCTGCCCCGCTGAGGCGTCGGGCCATATATCAATGGCTGGGCCGTAGACCTCCTTTCTTGGGGAACATGCAAAGACAGCATTGGCCGTATGGCTTGCCATGTGGCTCAGAGTCTCCAGTTCAGCTATCTTACAGTACTTCACCCAGAGATTTGAGTCATACCTTTGCCATGCTCAAGTGACACTCATAAGAGAAGACACTCGTGTCTTCTGTCTTCTTCTATTGATCGTCTGCCTTCTCTTGCCGCTCGGAAGCTCGACCATCAATGCCATCCATAATATATAGCGCTTTTTCGAGATCCAACATACAAACAAATGACTTCGAGAAGACGGCAGGACGGGAGTTCAACTTGCACAAAGGGATCTAGAAAGGAGGACCTTGCTTGGTGTTGCTGCTGACTTTAGATCGAGCCTTGGTTTCTACATCACATGCAAAAGATTGGCCACTGGGCCACATAGACTCAAAGAACTCATGTTGGGCCTTCCGCAAGATCATCTCCGGGGCCAAGTAGCGCAACTTGCATTTCTGGCGAGCTGGCCACGAGCGATAACTTGTGGCCCAGAGGGGGGTGGCGAAAGCTAGGCAAAGAAACAACGCTGGGGCTCTTTAGGCAGCAAAAGCCTGGCCGGGAATCGCAACATGCCATGGCCAAGGGAAAAGGAGAGTGCCAACAGCGCCCCCCCAATACGACCCCAACACAGCCAACACATGGCAACACACAACCACCCCAGCAACCGCAGCAGCAGCAGCAGCAGCAGCAACAGCCACAACAACAGTAACTGTAACCAGCAGCGGCAGCGGCAGCAAGCAGAAGCTACCAAGCAGCAGCAGAAGCAGCAGCAGGAGTAGCTAGCAAGCAGCAGCACCAGCTACCAAGCAGCAGCTACCAAGCAGCAGCAGCAGCTACCAAGCAGCAGCAGCAGCATCAGCAGCAGCTACCAAGCAGCAGCAGCAGCAGCATCAGCAGCAGCCACCAAGCAGCAGCAGCATCAGCAGCAGCTACCAAGCAGCAGCAGCAGCAGCAGCAGCAGCAACCAAGCAGCAGCAGCTACCAAGCAGCAGCAGCAGCAGCAGCAGGAGCGGCAGAGCAGCAGCAGCAGCAGCAGAAGCTACCAAGCACCACCAGCTACCAAGCAGCAGCAGCAGCAGGGAAAGAGTGAGCTTTCCTTAGAGTCTTTCGTGCCCCAACATTTGGTCTCGAACAATAGCACATACAGGTGCTGCCTGAGTAATTGTAGCAGGGCGACGTGGAAAGACAGATATATCTGATATATCTGGTTTTTCAACGAATAAATGCTGACGATGCAGCCAGCAGCGGTGTGCATGATTGACATCTAGGGGTTGCATGCGAACATGTGTCAGCGACCGAAGATTCCGTCGCAACGCTTGTGCATGCTCCCTGTCGCTCGAACATGCAACGCGGAATACCATGAGTGAAGCAAACAGCCCGTTCAAACATCTTACTGGGTTCTGTCATTCATGTGTGTAGAAAGTATCATCGTTTGATCTGCATGGATAGCGGATAGTGCATTCTGATTTGTACTCTTGGGGGTTGTGGGGTGGGTACATGCCTGTACAAGTTTCTTAAGGATATAATGAAATTAGTATCGCTTCACGACTCAGAGGGAATGCAACTACTCTCAATTCTAACGAATAGGCTTTCTTCAGCACCAACAGCAGCCAACAACCCCAAACAGCAACAGCAGCAAAACGGAGCAGACAACAAGCAGCAGGCAGCCAGCATCCAGCAGCCCAGCAGCAGCAAGCAAGCAGCAAGCAGCAGCAGCAGCGACCAAGCAGCAGCAGCAGGTACCGAGGAGGAGAAGGGTGGAGTTGAACCCCGCGGGGGGGGGTGTAGTCCTGATATATCAGGTAATAGCACTCAGGTCCTGGGCTCCCACCCTCCTTGCTAAAGCAAGACAGACTCCAGCTAGCTACAGCTAGCTTTCGTGATTAGCAGTCATGACCACTCAAAGAAGTGACCAAAAGGTGAACGGCCAATCGGGTGTATTGAATCTTCAACGTTGGCAGGTAAAAAGTAGCCTACTATATAATTATTTGCAGGTCGATTGAAAATCGCAAAATGTCCTGCAAATAAACGGAGAAGTTGGGTTCAAGCAAGTCACAACAATGGTTAAGTTGGGGAAATGATCTTCTTTGTGCACCGTGCGATGGACCTGCTCTACTGGTGCTACCCCAAATGCAGGCTCCCTTCGAGGTATCTGGTGCATGTGTCGTTGCTCTTGGAATCTTTCCGTTCTGCTTTCATTGGACCCTATTCAGTTACCCACGCGTTGCTGACCCAGGTCATAAAGCCATATCTGTTTGAGGAAATCAAGTGTTCGATCCTGAAGTTGATCCAGTGGATCTTCCAATCACGTGTCAGGGCCTCAGTCTTTGCCACCCATGTTGTGGCCACTCAGTCCCATTACTTCTCGCCCAGAGAACACGCATGCCTCGCGCCCCGAGAGATCACGCACTCGCTCTTCCTGAGTGACCCCGGGCTCGGAGAAGTCGGCATCCCAGCCGAGACATGTTTTCTGGATCTGTCTGGAAATGATCCATGCTTTCAATATTTTCTGATACTTCTGTATGGAATGGTTTTCTGGATTCACCCACTTTCTGCAGGATTCTATGCTTTTCTGATACTTCTTTCACTCACTCTATGTTTGCATTCGCCGCCCGATCTGCACACATGATAAGATTCACCGTGCAATCTCTAAATCTCTAGGCCAGGCACCAGAGGGGTGTAGGGGCGTAAGGGCTCATCCATCCCTCGGCCATAGCAAAGATCGCAGAGCTTCACCACTCCATCGCAAGTGATCAAGACCTCAGACACGAGGTCCGTCGTCCGTACCCAAGCAGATGGGGACGGAGATCGAACGGAACCGAAGGAGTTCGAACAGAATGCACCTGATGTTGGAGAGAACCATCTGCCAGCTCCAACGCTTCCTTCTTTTACAATGCCAGTTCCAGCTCTGAATCGATTCTAAGCACTTCCACTTTGTACAGCAAATCCGCATTGGGCGGGATGCCCTCTTCCTGACTTCCCTGACTTCCATAGGCTAAGCGCGAGGGCACGTGGAGCTGGGCTTTGGAACCCAAGGACAGCTGCTGAATGCCTTGTTCAAAACCGCGTCCTGGCCCAGAGTCTAAGCCTTAGAAGTTCACGAAGAGAAGTCACAGGTCTTCAGGTGTCCCTGTGGCACGAAGAAATCACAAGTGATACACTAGAAATCACAACAACTACTCCTCTATATAGTGGTCATCTAATGGTGGATATGGCTTAAACATCAAAGGAAACACTGCAAACCCAGCACACCACAAACCAACATCTGAGTGTGACTGGGTCTTGTTTTCTGAGCACCTGCATTATTTGTTGTTGGATACACTGATCCCTTCTTCTTGAGCTCAGACCCGCTGAATCCCATTTTTTCGCTGCTGCCGTCTGCCGATGCGATCGATCCGTTCTACTTCTGCGTCCGGACCGGGACCCATCGATCCGCTTTTCTCCGACGATTCGATGAGCTGCGAACATCCGATGACCCGCTGACGGACTGAGCTGCGCATTGCAGTGTTTCTACGCGACGATGATCCGATCCGAGGATCCGATGAGCAATCCGAAGCGCATGAAGGCTACCTTTCGTGATATGTTTGTTCTCAGCAAGGAATGAGCAAACACAGAAGTTGCCCTGTGACATTCGACATTACGAGGCAAACACATGGGGAGCAGCTACATGCCACTTGAGGCCAATTAAACTTGTTTGGATCGAACATGTAAAATACATCGGGCCAAATGTCAATATATACCACTGACTCCGTCCCCTCGATCTTGGGGCGAATTCCCGTGTTTGCATGGTTCGTTGCATCAAGACACCCAAATGGTACTGCATGGGGTCGCCAGCTCGAGTGCTTGAGAGCAGCTTCCCAGACTCCAGCCATAGCTCCATGTGCAAAGTCACCTGAGGCTCGTGTGATCTGCGTTCCGAGCGATCTGCCCGAGGCCGTTTCTCCTCTGTGACTGGACCACCCGGTGACCCCGACGGGAAGAGGATCCCTGGAGAGATCCAGTCACTCGCCCGCACACCAGTCATCAGGGCCCTTGAGCGGCCAGTGATTCCTTTCTTCGAGTTGTTGGAAGGTCTGCCAGGTGCGAAGAAGACATGTCAAGACTCCCTCCATCATCCTCCATCCAGCTATGCACCAACATCACCAACCCAGCTTGAGGTGGTGGCGCATTCGGTTCTTAGTCTTAAGCTGTAAGTCCTGCATCCCAAAGGCCACTTCAAAGACTCAAAGACCCTGTCTGACTGACTAAAAGGGCAGGATCCTACAGCATCTGACACAGAAAGAATTGGCGGGTATTGGCAGTGGTGTGTGCATCTTACGGTAAAGGTAATGCCTATAGACATCGCATGGCCATCAACCACATCTCCTACAGGTTTGGAGAGGAATCCAGGGGTTGGCTATGTTTCTTTTTCCAGGATATTTTTGGCCACTTGGTGGGGTCCAAATCACAATGTGAGCTCCGCTCGTCCCTCGGCGATCTATTGAAAACCAGCTCAGTTGGGTCATCTCAAGCCGCTGTCCAAGTCGCCAAATCTCCAAAGTTGGGATACGTCGCCCCATCTCCAGGGCTCAGCAGTGTCACTCGGACCTCTTTGGCCGGCACCTCCTCGCAACTCAGCAGTGTCAATGCGAGCTTCACCGCTTTTCCGGCCAGTGGATGGTTGAAATCCACCAACAATCGCCGGCCTGGCGCAAGAAGCGCGGGATGGAGACCAAATGCAACCACTTCCAAAACCTCCATCTTCACCAACCCAACCAGCAGTCACCAACGAAAAAGGGCTGAACAAGTGGCCGCTGGGCCGTGCCTTGCCGCTCTAGCACCTGGCCCATCCCCTCCTCCAACTTCACCAGCTTCCCCACCTCCGCCTCCTGAGGGCGAGGCCAAGCAGAAACAAGCACTGGCGTCCTAACACTGGTCGACATGGACAAGATGTTCCATCTGATGTTTGTTTAGCCCGAAATCAACATGCCTGCCATCAAATCATATCAAATCATCAAGAGAGCGCTGTGAAATTCCCATGAGCCAAGTCCATGATGTGCCCCTTTCGATAGTTTTGCAAGCAACCCACCGAAATCCAATCAACGACTTCAAATAATTTCACAGAACTCTGAGACTCCGAGGGAAGCAAGTTGATCTGACTAGTTTTGGGACAGTGATAAACCTTTCAACATGGCAAAGAACCCAATGCACCTGGCCTTTGTATGCTGACCCTCAGTTTGGATAGAACAAAAACATACAAAAAACCAACCTCTACCTGCTCGGTTGTCCACAGTCCGTCACCTATCTCCCCTGAATAAAGTCAAAGGTCAAGACTCGATAGGTTATCCGTATCTCTAGGTCTGCTCAACTGTTCACAAAATAATGAAAGGTCGACATATTGTCAAACAAAGCACTGTTACTCCCTGGAACCCAAGAATGAATATATATACTAATTATGATGTTTACCTAATTTTCCAGTGTAGTTGTCTAACACTTTATCGTTCAGTGGTTGAGTCACGACTCATCTGCCGAGTCTCCCCGTTGATCCACCGCAGCTTCCGCGCCGCGTAGCGCCCGAAGAGCGGCTCGTCCGTCCCACAGAGCACCTCGCGACGGTCGCCCAGCGCCATGCCGCGCACGGCGCGGTCGATGGCGGGCGCCACGTCGTTGGAACCGACCACGAAGTCCAAGGCGGGGTTGAAGTCCACCAGGCCGGGATCCTCATCGAAGTCATAACCTGGGTAGATGTGTTTTGGTATGTGTTTGGTGCAAAAGAATGGGGAAACCAAGGACCAAATGAGGCTCCCTCTGACACTTTAGCTTCGATACGTCAAAAAACCCTTTGAGGCGAAGTTGACGTATCATATATACCAGGTTTGCCAGTTCGGGGAGATCTTCGAGGCCTGGCCGAATCCATGTCCTCGCTTGCGTCTCTTTCCGACAGGTCACCAATCTTTGCTCTTGTCTTGGTAACCAACCTTCGCTTTTCTGTCTGGGCATTCACTTCCTCTGGAGCCCTGACCGATTTGCTTTACACATACTTGTCATACATCAATGTGCAACCGGACAGTCAAGCTACTGAGCCAAGGCTATTTTAAACTGCTGGGCGCCGCCAGCGGTTCTAAGAGCTGGCATTTACGGTGAGCGACTCCGGCTCTTCATCATAGATCCACTGTGAACACGACCGGCGCTGCATTGGAAACAAAGCCCTACGAAGTACACAGAATTCGTCCCAAAGGCCCTTCAACATCTCAGGCTTTGAAGGCTTGGACTGGAGAGCTTGGCTGAAAACAAGGCTTGCAACTGACATGATGTCTGCAAAACCATATGGAGCGGAAGCATCGTGCCCAAATGGGTCAGCTGACACCATTTTGGGGCATCCTATTGAGTCTCTTCAGTGCGTATTTCTGGGTGTTCCCGATTCTGAACGAGACGGCTTTCCGCCACCGCCGCACCCCTTCACCCCTTCCAGAGGCTCCCTAAAGGCTCGCTCTCGTGATTTCACCATTGTATAGCAAGTGTTGTCTGGCAAAGAAACATGTTGCCATTGGTATGAGGAATGAAGCCCATACGACCCGGGAGCGGTGGAACGAAGCAGTCGCAACCATTCCCCCTTTGGCCGAGCTGCTTACACCCACACGCACCCTCAGGCCCTCTACCGCCGTGTCTCGAGCGAGGCGGCCCAGCCGGCTGCGCCGGTGCTGGCGGCGCCCCAAGCGGCGGCCAAGCCGCACCCGATCGATGAAGCAGCGAGAAGTGCAAACTGACAGGGAAGGCAACACAGGACGGAGCGTGTGGTACAGCTCATGGACTAACATGGAACCCCATCCATTCACTGGGCTCATTGAGGACAATTGTTCGCTATATATGTGGCTTAATACATGGGCTCTGGCAGTTTGTGGGAGTGTCAATTCCCACCACGGCGCCAAACCTCTCTTAGGTTTCTGATGTGCCATGCAACATCCTTCTTGAATGGCACCACCTACATTGACAGCCGCCAAGCAATTAGTCATTTGGAGCGTAGCAAAGCTATAACTAAACACCCACTCAAGAACCTTGGCACAACTATGCACAACCTCACAACACATTCTACGGTTAAAGGCCACTTGACGGTAGTTCTGATAATAGCATGCCCAGTTGTCTGATCTATTGTGACAAAGCACAAATATATTCTCGAAACCCCCGGATCCTGCCAGAATCAAACCCGCCCATAGTGCTGGACATCGCATCTCCAGAGCTTCTCTTTCAGAGCTTCTCTTTCAGGCTGTGAAGATTTGTGGCGGAGACAGAGAGGCTCCTGATACTTCCTCTATACAGAAAGAATCGTTTTGAGGGAGCACGTCACGTAGGGTTGGCTATTTAGATGTTACTCCAGCTAACTGGAACAGTGACCTCATATAACCCCTGTGGAGCAGTTGCAAAAATCATTGCCACGATTCCAAAATCTTATTGTACGTCCGGGGCTTTGGGAGTCGGGTTTTCGTTGAGATCAGTGGGATTTGGCCAGATGTGAGGCTGAAGACAAAGTACTTGATGGAATTGTGGCTCTGGAAAATGATTCAAATACCAGCAAGGAGACTGACTCCTTCCACTCCTTGAGCCATGTCCGCACTTGTTCAACAAGACTATCTCGGAAGTACATGGAGGTTCCGCTCTTGAGGCCATTGCTTCAAAAACTTGGTCACGCGCCGCGTCTCCAACTCATGATGTCGACTCCCCAAATCACGCCCAGCTAGCTGCATCACACTCAAAGCACCATCGGATCAACTCGACCTCTGAGAATTCGGCATTGCTTGGCCGCAGGTTTCGACCAAAAATACCTGGAGTCCGAATCTGGCTGCGCTAGGAGGAAGGGTTTTGGATGGTTTTGGTTTCAACCAACGGGCCCCGGGTTGAATAGGCAAAAGGTCGCCAATTCCGAAATCGAAGTCACACCAATTCCATCCAAGTCAAGTAACCCATTGGTCACCCCAACTGTGCAGAACACCGTCCCGAGCTCGATTTTCGACCTGTTTCCGCGGAGTCCATTAGCGTGGGCCCTGTGATTCAAGCACTCGGGAAGCGTTGCACTCCTCTTTGTGGGGGGACTCTTTAGGGTCTTTGTGGGGTCGCGCAGACCCCACAGAGACCTCGCAACCGGAGATGTTCATATACTGTATCACCTACAGTCGCCAGAGATGATCCAATTTCGCACCATGAAGCATGCATGGGGCAAGACGGCGGGTGAAAAAAACTAGTAGCAAGGACGCTACTAGTAGCAAGGTGCCTTACTACTAGTAGCAAGAAGCTACTAGTATATAACAAGGTGCATCGCTACTAGTAGCAAGGAGGTGAAAAAAGACCTCTTACCTGACCCCTCTCGACTATTCACCCACCATGTGAAAACGCAGGAAAACGCCATCGTTGAACGATGCGTACACTTCTCCAAGAATTGTACGTTTTGCTTAGGCTTGCCTGATCTTATCTGATATGGTGTCTCTACTACGCATGTCCATTCTTTCTCTTGGAAGCCATCGCTAGGCTGCTGACTTCCTCAGAAAGAAGACACACATTGCGGCTTGCATCAGATACCAAAATGGGAGAATTGCGCTGCTGCGTCGCTACCATCTTGGAAGTTCCCAGGAGCTTAGCAAGCTAGCTTCACCTGAGGCTTTCGCGCAGCTTTGGCGCTTGCGTCGTATGTCTCACATTGGTATCGAAGGGCCTGAAGCTGACACAAATAATTGCGACTCACTGCTTATGAGATAAGTCTCAGACTTGCGCTGACGAACACAGCAACATGATTGAAACTCCGCAAACATATTTCCAGATGAAAGAGTCTTGTAGCAACGAGTTGCCGCATAAAGCTGACTCAGATCAACATCTCCCAATATGACAACCGTGACAGGTCGTGAGTCTCAAAAGAGGACCCACAGGTAGTGAGGCTCTGGAGGTAGTGAGAAAACATGAGAAACGTACAAACCCACAGGGCCAGGTGGGTCAATCCCAGTGAAAACATTGACATCTCTGACATCTCTCACGGCTAAAATGCACGCAAGTCTGGTCGAGTGCGTCCATAGCGCAAGTCTTTATAACTCAGAGAAGGTGCTTGTTTCGTGTGTTTTCCACCAGAGACCCTCACTGCGACGCGCCGGGTGCCGGGCCAACAACCCTTGGATCGACAGTCCTGCCCCAAGGGGTGGGATCCCAGCGATAATGACAAAACTACTATAATGAGTAACTACTATAATAAGTAACCTTTAAAAGGTTGGATTGTCCTTCACTGCGCTATTAGATTTCACATCCAACCTTTTAGCGCTGTGAAATCTAATAGATTCCAAAAGGATCGTCCATGATTCAATTCTCGTCCCATGCTGAGGCCTCTCGAGTGCTGTTAACGTGATTCTGACGAAACCAGCTTTGTTTTCTTAGAGACCACTAGAAAAGGAGATCCTCATGATCCTGTTCAGACATGTTCAGGCCATGTTGTGTATCAATAGATTGAGCTGCATTAAGTTGTTGCTGAAGGCTACAGCCTGTAGTAGAATGAAGTGAGATATTGTCCTCAGCATTCTCAGGAACAAGGGCTGAACTTGACATCTTGCTTCATGTACTATTGGCGTCTAGTGGCTGTTGGCGTCTACGGTGGTCGCAGGGTGTCACCGGTCTTCACCTGCACAGCCTCCGTGTGGTGAAGGCAACTGAGTTGAAAGCCTTGCCATACCTGGAACCCATTTGACCTCTGTTTTGATAGGGGAAAACATCATATTTCCATAGTTACCGGGGTCACCTCAGGTTTTAGGTATGTATATGTTCCTGCAAGATGAAAAGCTTATCCAACGGGCACATCTCCTAAACAATCCTCAACCTTTCATGTCACATGTTCTGTACGCCCCACGGTCCACCAGCACCTTTGGGATCTCTGAGATGGATCATCAAAGATCCGACAACCCACTCCGGCGATCCACGACCGGCGATCCACCAGCTGTTGCATGGCACACTGGCTGCGGCGGCCGTCTCAGGTCTCACTATACTTGTCTGGCACGGTTGGTGAATCGAAGCCCCAGGTACGCCACGACCTGGCCGATGAGATCCGATGGTTTTGTTTCGAAACCACCAGGAGCTCCCACCGCCCAGTTGAGCCGATGGCATTTGGCCGATCAGATTTGTCAAGCCAAGACCCGCGCAGGGAGTGTTTGACAGACCGACGACACGCTGTTTTTTCATCTTCAGACGGTTGCTGATTCACGACAACAACACTCGAACATTTAAAGATGCAAATATATATATATATACATGTTCAATTCACATTGGCGGCACCTCGATAAAGTCTTCAATCTCGACTCCAACACCTACAGCACCCTTATAATGAAGCTGAGGCGTTCACTCGCAGAACAGTGCCCTGGATGAGCAACACCATGATCCCCGTCCACCACCTAAGCACTCAAAGGCCCATGTGGTTCCTACGACACGCTATGCGTCGACGCAGCTGAAGAGCTGGGGAAGGGGCTCCGGTTTCGTAGAACCGCGACCAAATCTAGTACCCACGACCAGACCTTCAACCAGCTAGTAACTAGTAGGTGCACGAAAAGCATCGAACAGCTATATATAAGCATCTATAAGCAATGCGACCAGACTTTGACTCGAGAAGTGAGTACCTTCGACGGTGAGAAAGGATCCTAGGAGCGTCCAACATGCAGCAGTGAGAAGGTCTTGAACTGCAGGACATGTCCCAAAGCTCAAGTCTTCGAGTCCAAAGGACACCAACAGTTTCCAACGATCGATCGAGCGAGTGCCTGCAGAATGCACAAATGCAACAGCTGATCGGCCTGTTCTAGCTGAACTGAGGAATCAAAGGTAATCACAGCAGGTACACATCAGGACGTCCAACGCATCACCAGCGAATGTGGACGTCTTCGTTGGCAGTGATTCCACAAACTCTGTCACTGTCCCTTGCTGTTTCGAACAGAATCCGAAGATACCCATGACTCCAGAGCTGGGCGCACACAGGATAAAAGCGTGTCCCATTCTTTAACCCTCTTCTACCTCAACTCCCGGAGTATTGACACGAAGTCACAGGTACCAGTTCTGGACTTTACGAGAGCGCTACTGAACAGGTTCAACTCCTCCAAAACCCCACAACATCCCATAACTGTATCAGCTATATTATAGGCTCGCAAACAAATGATAGGCCCAATAGCACGAAATGATAGGCACATAAATTAAACCGTAGTGGATCTTCTTTGCATGGCGATAAGAAACACACCGCATGAGGTGGCTTGCGAAAGACAGACTGATGAAAGACTGTAACGAGACGGCTGCTAACTCCGCAGCTCGACGACGCGCGATTGGCCGTTTCACTGGCGTTTCTGCTGTTTCACCCTCCCGGCGTTTGTACAAAATCGTAGGCAGCCCGGCGAGTCATCATGGACATCTAGCAAGTAGCGGGCCCTGCCAGGGATGTGCAGCCCACTAGGTCCCAACCCTGAGGAGAGTAACTCTGGGTTGGTGGTACGGAGTCATGCCAGACTCCTCAGACAATGCTGTCCTGGTGCTTCGGGTCCACTTGTGGGAGCGTGCACAAAGCTCGTGCTTGGTGCATCTCTCACTTGATGCTGAGGAACAACAGCAAAACACTCTTTCAAACATCGTGAAACACTCTCCTTGCATCCATGTGAGCATTGGACAACGACCCCGAACACTCTTTTGATTTCACACACCTCCACACATGTTTTTCGCGCGAAACTACATACCCCACGTTTCGAGCTCTCCGAGTCCCAACCCGTGTGGCTTTTCCGGTCTCCGATCACCGAGGGCTGCACTTAGAGTAGGACTCGGAGAACCTGTCGCGTTGGAAACGAAGTCTTTCGGACCCAAGGACCGAAGGACCGACTGCTGGGATACATCTATGATACATCTATGTCCGATCCCCCGTCACCAGGCCCTTAGATGATTGAAATCTCCTACTGTAAGGTATCTCCCAAGTTAAGATGATTTAAGATGTAACATCTATGAACATCTTACAATTTGATCTCTGTCCCTTCTAAACTAACTACCTCGATCTTACGTATCGGTCTTGGCTTTGTTTGTCGCATCCGGTCATCTCCCATCACTGGGAGACCCGTTCGGGTCTCTGTTAGCCCGAGGAGCATCTCAAGCTGCCACTTGTCCGTGTCGTTCAAAAACTGCGGATCTGGAGGATACAGACGAATGTACGCCTCACTTCGGCCAGAATCCAACCGAAGACAAGTCGTTCGTTTTTTTTCCCACCAAAACAAAACCGATGATGGAGGACTTCGGGCTCCATTTCGTGAAGGCGAGGCTTGAGGCCTGGCTAAGAATCTGGCAAGAAAGCTCATTGCAGCACTCCAGCGAGTAAAGGAGATGCTGTCAACCTGGTTGGGATGAGTGCTTTCTATCAGGAGCTTGCATGCACTTGCAACTTGGACTGTGGCATGCCAAATCTGTGACACTAGATGCTCAATCAGTGCACAGTATATATAGGTATATATAGGTCATGACTTGTGGGTCGACGTGTCGGATGTCTGGCAAACTGACCTGTATTTCGATGCAAATAAACTGACGCCAAGGTCCCTCCGTCCCGACGAATCGTACAGATCAAGGTCCACGACCGGGTTGTGATGAGGCCGAATCGAACACGCTGACATGTGCAGCTGCGGTCATGGCACCCGTTGCCCATTTCACCCTGCTAAGTTGACCTCCTCAGTCGGTTGGATGACCTAGTCCGCTGGTGCCGCGGTGTCACTGTCCGCTGGGTGTCGTGCAATGACCTCCATCAGCCCACCCTTCAAGAAGACACTCATCTGCATGGGAAGACCCAGGATACCTCGGCCACCAAGAGGGAATATAGGGGAAACATGTGAAAGGGATGTGCATCAATCTTGCGCTGGTCCAAGAGCATCCAAAAAACTATCCAAAACTCACATGTTGGTTGTCATGAAAAGAAACCATACAAATGGCATCAAGTCATGGCAAGAAGCGCCAAGAAGCTTTTAGATATATAGATGTTTTTAGACCAGGTGAGTCACGGAGTAGCGAAAGCAAGGTTAAAAAGAATACTTTACTTCGAGTGATCCCCACCATGACATTTCAATCATTTGTCTTGATGCCATAGTGAGATGCCGTGGTCGTGAGTATTGTAGTTCTCGATTTTGCTTGTGGGTCCTCGGGTTGTGTGCTGTGGTTGTGTGCTGTGTTGTGGTTGTGTTTGTGATTGTGTTTTTGTGGCTGAGTGTTCGTGATTGTGTGTTTGTGGTGCTGGTAGTGGTTGTGTTTGTGGCTGTGTGTTTGTGATTGTGTTTGTGGTACTGGTAGTGGTTGTGATTGTGTGTTTGTAGTTGTGTGCTTGTGGTTGTGTGTTTGTGGATGTGTGTTTGTGGTTGTGTGTTTGCGGTTGCGTGGTTGTGGTTGCGTGGTTGTGGTTGTGTGTTTGTGGTTGTGTGTTTGTGGTTGTGTGTTTGTGGTTGTGGTTGTGTGTTTGTGGTTGTGTGTTTGTGGTTGTGTGTTTGTTGTTGTGTGTTTGTGGTGTTGTGGTTGTGGTTGTGTGTTTGTGGTTGTGTGTTTGTGCTTCTGTTTGTGGTTGTGTGTTTGTGGTTGTGTGTTTGTGGTTGTGTGTTT